CATCTGAAGCATTCACAATGGATCATCTTATTTGGTACATATGAAATGTCTCAATAATGAACGCCAATATTTAGTGTTGATGATTTTTACAAGCTAATAATATGAAATCCCATTTTGTTTGCCACTGTGACGGTAATTTGTCTAAATCACTTCTGCTCTCTATATATTTATTTTAATAGATTACACTAATTGCATTTGAATTACAAACTAATCTAATTTGCCAAGCATAGGAGATATTTTCTTACCAATTGAGAGACATAAAATAAGTCAAAGGTGCTATACCAAGTGTATATGCCTCACTCTTGAGAGAGATAAGATAATGAAAAAGTGTGGGCTTTTTAAAGAGGTTCACTGCTTTCCTTTCTTCCCAACATATTCCACACTTTCTGATGAAGCTATCAAAGCAGCTTACAATTTGGAAGTCTAAAAGTAAAAGAAAGTCAGTAAGGCTCACTTCCTCATGATTTCATTGCCCTTAAGCAACAGATCATAAGAAAAGGAGAACCACTGTCACCTTATAACACTGTCTTAGCCCTGGCAAGAAAATGGTGGAATCCACCCCTGACCTCAGGTACTCACATAGAGCAACAAAATATGAATTGCAACGTAACATTTGCAGCTATGTCGTGGTTTTTGCTTGTTGCAGTTGTGGGCTTCCGCATTTATATTATGGAAGACAATTTTGGGATACGTGAAAGCCAATAAGGTTTTTACCAGTGAAGAGGTCTTTGTGACAGAGCCTAACGTCTGCTGCTTGATATAAAGGGAAGAGCTCAGTCAAACAATAAAACCATTTTTATGGATTTCAAAGGCTGGAAATTTAGGTTCCACGCAGAAGAAAGTACAGTATAGTTTAGGATCTCATGCATGCCAAAGACAGCACTGCTAGAAAAATTAACTCATATTAATTTATATGCTGTGATATAAATGAAGTGAATCAGCATTGAGTTAGGCACATAAGCAGGCCTCAAAAAACTCACCTTGGTAACTTTAAAATGTGTCCTCATTTGAAATAACATACACAGAATTTACATGTAATAAAAATTCTGCAGACATCAGAATATCTACAGAGTCATTCCATGATATCGAAATCACATTGGGATATTGGAACAGGGGACAGGGGACTCAGAGGAGCCTGAACACCTTCCAAGAACGACACCTAGGCTTCTTAATGGTGTTGTTTCTGATAGAAAGCTGGAAATGGCATTTCAGCTTATTCAGGAATCAACAAATAGTCTCCCCAGCTAAGAAATTGAATCATTCCACAATCTGTCAGAAACGCAATCAAAAATGGATACAATGTATCAAGTTTATCATTCATGGCTGTTAATTTTTGAAAAACCAGGGACACCTTATCTACCCTGAGGAAAGATCAATGTGCCAGATGATCAGACTGAGAGGGTTGGATTGTTGTGCAGGTCATCTCTTCCTAAACTGTTTAACCATTTCTTGGGAACATTCATATTTGGGGAGAAGAAGCACTCTTATTAATGTTATTTCTCATTTCATCTTCTGTTGAGTCTAGTCACTCAGACTGATTGATTAAATGAATAATTCATCCATGTTTACCACAGTGCAGGTCAACTTTAGACCTTCACTTCTGGAGTCATCCAGGTCCTGATGCTCAGTGGGGTTGCAGGAAGCAATATATAGGACCTATCAGAATAGGGTCTACAGTCTATCTTCCCTTAAGCTGTCAGAGAGATACACAGATGTCACATTACATGCAAATCCTGTAAAATTTCATATACAGAGCATGACATAATATTAAATCTGTATATATTTCAGAGAGCTGAAGGAAACTTATAACTATGAATTAATCTATCAGCCATGGCAGCAGAGTTAGAGGTCTTTGTCTCTCTTGTCTGCCATCTAATGGTTGTCCAATTTGTTCAGAAGGTGGAGTTTGAGGAAGGATGTTAGCTAAGGGGTGGAAGTGGGAACTCTAAACTACTCTAAGAACATTATGTGAGGAGCCAGGGCACCTGGCAGCAGTGGTCACAGGGAGGAAATTCCCTGCTGCACAGGCTAAAGATGTATAAGAGAGAAGTCCTCTCAGGTACACTTCCAATTATTTTACTTAGGTAGAGGAGTACAGATATAACCTGGAAGAGGGAATACAAGAATTGTAATTAAACAATTCAGTCCTGGGAAAGAAGAAGGGGTGAGAAACAAACTCAAGATAACCTCAGCTTGATTCTATTTAGTATGGGGAGGGTAGAGGGATACGTTGGCAGGCCTCCAAGATTCTGGTATTACATCCTATAGCAGTAGTGTTCCAGTGGTCCCTGCATTGTCTATTCCCTGACCTAGCCTACTCTATGGCTGATATTTTAAGTTGGGAAAAGCTAGTCTGTGTCAGGACTTGGCACTTTCTAGGTTGACCAGTTGACCAATGGACCAACTCATTTGAAAAAAAACAAGTGTAGCTGCTGAAGATGGGTTTTAGTTAGAAGAAGATGGGGGGGGGGTAGTAGAACAGGTCAGAGAGAAATGGAAGGGGGCAATACCAGTGAAAACTGGCTCAAACAGCTGTAGGCACAAGTCTTCTGGTATGGAAAATATAATTTCAAACAGCTTCCCCCATGCACATCAACATACTCAGCACACTCACACACACAATATATTTATTTTCTCTTGCATATATACTTTTCTTTGGTCTTACAATAATAAATAATAGCATCAACATAAAAAATGAATTGGCATATATCTAACAGCTGTTGACTTGTTGAGATTCTATAGTGTAGTTTTTACTTTTTTGTCCACATCCCAATGTGGACAAAAATACATCTAAACAACTTCTTTTTGAACTGAATTCAAATGCAACATAAAAACAAACAACAAAAACCAACAACTTTTTTTCCCATAGGTAGTACAGGGATCTGTACCAGTAGCGCTGAATGGAGGCTGGGGGCTATAAGCATAGCCCATAGTAACCACAGATTATTGTAAATCACAAACATTGATTTACATGTGAATTGAAAAGTTCTTCAATCTTCTTCTTGCTATTAGAACTGCTATGTACAGAATGTAAAAGAGAAAGAAACAGAAAAAAGAGATTTATTATTTTCCTTATTGCACTGTGATATGGCTGAAGATAAACTGAAACTCTGGAAAAAACAACTGGAGCTATATTCTTAGATATAAAGGACAAAAGCGGTATGTTTGTGTTAGGGAAGTAAATAGTAAAGCAGCAGGAAAGCAATATTAGGACTTTGCCTTCAGCTGAAAGAAGGTTGAGGTTCCCTTTGTGTATCGGTTCATTCAAAATATCAATAATAATAATATCATTGTCATGCCATTATTGGAATTTAACCTGTATGCCATAGAGTATGTTAGAGAGGTTAAATGCAGAAAACTCTCAATTCTGTACTTCAGGCCAATTCTAGTGGAGTTAATTCTAAGTTGACAGGTATCACATTACACTGACATCATGATATTAAGAGCTCATAACGTGAATGAAAGTACATTGAAAGAGATACATTATAATTACAG